CCAATTCTGTTTCTCACACAGACATAACCAAGACCAATATTCACATCATCAGAAGTCACCTTCTCGAGAAGTCCTTCTGGAGATTTATCGCATTTGGTGACCACAGCAAGCGTTCTCTCTCCGTTTTTGTCGACACTCTGCGACATCCGAATCGACTCGCAAGTCGGAAAATCGACAGTCGCCGACAAAACATTAAGTATAATACTTGCTTCCGGCTTAATATACTCCATTATAATGTCCCTTATCTGGTCGTAGATGTTCTCCGGTTGACCAAGAACAGGGACTCTGGTGATTCCCGGAAGATCCACCATCGTCAAATCAGGAACGCCCTGTTTCTTCACCGTCAGAGTCAGGCGGGTTTTGGATATTCCCTTCCCGTTGCCGGCGATCTCCCCAGTAGCCATATTGATGGCTTCCGAAATGTTATCTTCGGTGGTGGGGACCACTTTGCCGCTGTACTCCAAGAAAATTTCGGGTTCTGGAGAGGAGTGGTTTTGGAGCCGCATGACGAGGGGGACTCTGGTGCAGATTCCCTGGCCGCGAGGGAGGTTGATGCGGGCGAGAGACTCGAGGACGGAGGACTTGCCCGAGGACTGGTCGCCGACGACGACGATGGTGGGGAGCTCGATGCCTTCGTCCATGACGGCGAGGTTGCGGAGCTTGTCGACGGCGTCGAGGACGGGGCGGATGCGGTCGTTGTAGGAGGAGACGATCGGTGCTGCCACGACGGCCAAGTGGTGGGTTTCGTCACCAGCAATTTTAAGATCAAAGTCGAGGTTGAGAGGTGAGAATGAGAGGTTTTGTTCTTGGGTTTGTTGGATTTGGGAGGAAATTGGGTCTTTGAACTCCATTGTGTTTTTTTTTTTTTTGTGGTGGATTGAGAGAGCACAAGGTTTCGCAGAGGAGCTGATCAAGGAAGGAAAATGGCCAAGTGGTTATGTGGGTGGTAGTGGAGACTCTGGAGAGTAGAGTGGAGGGGGAAAAAAAAAGAGACAATGATGAAATGCCTTACTTGCAACGGTTTCCGAAAAAATATCGAATTTGCATTTTAATTGTCGGGGAAGTTAATTAAACATGTGCCTTACTTGCTGGAGAGATATTCGATTGCAGAGGTTTTGATTGCTGCCGTACATCATAGGACGTACAAGCTTTCTGCGGGAACTTGAGACTGCAGAGTAACAGCCAATGGCATTGTTTCTCTTCCCCGCGAAGGGCTTCTCTTGTGTACCATTTTTTCTTTTTTCATTTCATAAACATTCCCAGAAAAAACAAAGTGGAAAGGTACTACCAGTTTTGACATTCCCACGCAAAAGAAGGACGTCTTAAAGCAAAAGCGACGAAAAGAAAAAAAAAAAAAAAAAAAAAAAAAAATTAGTATTTGAAGATCATGGAGTCAGCATAATTTCCATCTAAATTCTTGTGTTGATTTCGCATTGATAAATCAGCGAACTTGTTTAGTGTGGATGTCTTGTTCCTTCCCACAGCCGATATCAATAATTTAAATGTGAATTTTACTTACCAATTTATTAATTATATTTAAAGCCTCCATTATTTCACCAATTTAAATTTTTAATTTTAGATTTTTAGAGTTACAAACTCTTAAAAAATATTATATGTAACTTTTTTTATTATAATTAAAACTCTTGAAAATGTTACATTTAAGTTTGAATTAAAAATTCAAATCTGCAAAATGAGCGATGTCTAAAAGTCAGTTTTCATTTCTCTCATATTTTACACTAAACAAAAAAAAAATCGTTTTCATTTCTGTTTTTGTCTTTATTTGTGTCAAATATCGTTTCTATCTCGTTTTCATTTTTTTTTTCTCAAAAAACGTGAAAAATAAAAACAAAAACAACTCCAAACATAGCTATAGTGTTTTAGTTTTTAGTTTTTTTTTTATTTTCCTATCTTTTTATTTTTAGGGTATTTTAAGTATTTTTAAACTTAAAAGTGTGGGTTGATTGTGATAAGGTATAAATTTAAAAATTAAATCTAATTTGAAAGTATAAATTTGATGAGATAAACAACCAAAGGTATAACTTTTAAGTAAACCTAAAACATAGGGTATAAAAAGATAAATATCCCTAACAAAAATTTCAACTACATTTTCACAAAATTCAATATTCATTTTTTTTCTTTTTCGTTTTCTTTTCTTGTTGTTCTTTTGGTATTTTCTATTAAATCTTATGAATTTAAATGGACCAAATTGATTTTTTTCTAATTTATTCTTATGAGAACTTTTTTCTTTCAAAATGGTCCCATCTAAAATATCTTTTCATATAATATTTATTATATAAAAAATGAGCCTCATAGAAATAGGTTTTAAACGGCCAATTAAAATGATATTTCTCAAATGTGTCCCTAATTTAGGGTTTTTTTCCTCAAATAACCCTCTCAATTACTACTTTCTTATAAACAAAATGTAATGCCCCCAACGCTAAACCGGTCTAAGTCCAAATTTAGCGAGGTAGTACTATTTAAAACATAATTTCTATACTTAAAACAATGTCAGTTTTAATATACGGAAACTTGTGGTTGATTTTATCATAAGATTTTCATAAACGTTTTTGAACAAAATGAGTCAGTGCACAAAATGATAATAACCACATATCTTAGACATTAAACAGTTATTTAAAATCAACATAGTAACGATAAAAAAAAAAAAAAAACATTTTGGACCCATCTATTGTTTGGAAGTACATATAAGCAAGATGCCAGATGTAGGACCTGGAGTCTCGGCCAACCATGGAAATCATTTTTACTCTTCGGTAATAATAACATCATCTGCATCACAAGGTAAAATTAACGAGCAAAACCTCAGCAAGTAGATTTCAAATAAAGTAAGTATCTAAAATCTCCGTGGCTGAAATCTCTTTGTTAAACATTGTTCATAAAATTTCATACTTATTCTTAGTTTAGGTATGATACAGAACTTCGGTTTCAAGTAGGCCTCTCTATACAAGACATTTTCTAATTTTAGCCAATTCTATTCTCTTAACACTAAGCAGGGTTTTTAGAATCTCCTTCTCTTGTGATCAACAAGAGACTTCCCACTAGCATTTTTCTCTAGTTGTCTCAAAGAGATAGTTACTCTAATTTGGGGCACCGGTCCTTCGCACCCTTGCTTACCCAACCTCTCATCCATATACCATATCATAAAATCTCATAAAACATAAAAACATAATAAGTAGATATCATAATCTGTTCTAAAATAATTAATCATGAATACTCTTTGAACATAATCATATAAGAATTTCATGAGAGAATAAACTTGCATAATCATAATTTTGAACAAGTTATTTCGTTAAATAGGTCATGTGATGCAGTTTTGAAAATGCTTTAACTCTTCTTACTTGAATTTCGATCACCACTTTGCAAACACAAACTAGCTGGTTGTGGGAAGCCTTTAATGTGCTAATTAACCTTTAAAAACCATAGCTTTCAAAAATCATATTCATATCATCATTTAACAAAATACATAACTGCGCATTGTTACAAAAATATTCATAACAAATTCATCAAAACTCAAAATATTATCATACCAGTAGCAAATAAAAGTAGACTCAAAACTCTCTTTTTGGAGCTACTACATGATAGGTTTCAGATTTTTTAAACTAACCAAAAACAGCCCGAAATCCGGATTGAAGTATAATCTCATCAGGAAATGACAGCGTTTTAGCTGAACTCATAAAATTCATAACTAAATGTAAAAAAATCCGTTTAGAATGATTTAAAAACTCACGTAAAGCTTGAGATGTATTATTTAATAGAAAAATATAAGATCAGTCAAAATCATAAATATATATGGCACAAAAACAGAATCTACATAAGCTGTACAGAGGACTTATTTGAACATTTCATCAAATACCTAGCATGCATATCTTAATCTTCAAAGCCTACTCTCAAATACGTGAATCATCATCCTAATAAGAGTTTATCTTCAAATAATCATCAATAATATCAAGCCAAAATAATTAATTTCACCCAGAAACCCATATTTGAACCAAAACCTCAAGAAACTCATTTTTAAGGGTCTACAACCAACATGCATGATAAGTCACATCAAAAATCTGAATCTCAAGTAGAATTTCAACATCTTAATCTCTGAAATCTTAGTTTCTAACATAAGAAAGAAGTTACCTCGAAGAAAAACTCGTTCCCAAGTGAATAAAAGCTCAAAACCTTGATAGTTCTTTTTGGTTCTAGATTGAAAAATGAGTTGAAATGGGTTTTAGCTCATTCTCTCTTGAAAATCTAGGTTTGATTCTGAGTCTTGGGTGAGAAAAGGAGTGAGAAGAGAGAAGAAATTGTTATGGTCCGAGTTCTAGGTTTTTTTTTTTGTTGAAATAGACCCAAAAACGAAGTCTAAACATGATAGAAACCAAGCAAAAGTAAAGTGACCTTATAGTAGGACAAGTGTTTAGGATTTTCTAAGCCTCTAATAGCTGTCCTAACCTCATAAAATTAGCTCTAAAGTCTCTATTTTTGTTCTTCAATTAGGTGCCTAAAGATCACTCAATTTGCTAACATAGCCTTCTCTCACAAAAACTCAAAAGAGCAACTAAGTCCTCAACACATTTACATAAAACCATATAATAAAAATATAAAATAATAATTCATCATTAAATCAATTATAATAGAGGTAAAATATCATATCAAATAATCATAATAAATATCATTTTTTCTTCATAAGTTTAGCACATTGAGTTCTCACACCGAGTTAGTTACACTGCACATTAAAACTGAAAACTTGATTAGCAAGGTTATAAGTTTAATAAAATCATATGATAGCTATAATAATAAAATATAATCCCAACAAATAACTTTGAGATAAATGATAAATGTGGTGCATGATTTTAATTTACTAAATTTATTTATTATTTGCTTAAGGCTTAATTAAATCTCGTGTATTACACATATTTTGTCTAATTTGACCGTATTGAATATTTTTAAATATGTCTCTGCACACTAAAACATCTTTTTTTAAGTGCTCTCAACTAGTATTTTTCATATGTATTATGTATCCCTTAAATAAATTTGTTTAATCTAATTTACTTTCTAAAATCTTTATTGCTCAAATACATTCTACTTATCTATGCATACACCATTCATCCAAACACATTGTATTTGAAACATGTATTTTAGTCCATTTTATGCAAATATAATTTTTTGACTAAACTAAACTCTTAAAAGAGTAATAAATTCAAGTAAAAGAAAATGAACTCTTCAAAAATTTTAAATTTACGTATCAAGAAGTTTAATAAACTAATCAATATGCATATGCATAATATATTTTGTACTAATTAATAGTATGCCAATAAACAATAAGTAAAAAACACTAAAAAAAACTAACTAATTAATAGTATTAGGAGTTAAATTTGTTGGTGCTTTTAACGTTCAACATTTTTAGTTTATGTTCTCCTAAATAAAATCATGGCTTTACCATTGGTTGGATTTAGTTAAAATTATATTAAATTAAAAAAATAAGTAGAACTGACAATTTTTAATACAGATCTGGCTGCCGATCTTACTAGGAAAACTTCTTTTTTTTAACAGTTTTCATATTTTTTTTTTGAATATTCACGTAAAGATTTATTAAATTTTTTTTAAAAAAAAAAAAAAAACATTAGAAACCTATAAGAGGTGTCAAAATAAGAAGAAAGAATAACTAAAAGGAAACTAAAAAAGATAAGATAAAAACAGTAATGAACCAAATCAATAGAAAACGTTAAATATTTTTTCAAATTAATTTCCTCTATGAACCCTAACTTGGTAAGAAGAATTTTTCTTCTCCAGCTCTTTGTTCAATATTTTTTTTCCCCAAAATATCTGAATCTGCTAATTTCTCCCAAGAATTCAAAGCAACAATATTCATCTCTTTCTAAATGCGTATATAACTGTTTATTGTTGATGTATTATTCATTTTGATGCTTCTTTCTCAAGAAGAGTCTTCACCTGTTATATCCGCTCAAGATTATCTTGGCTTTTTGGATGCTTCAAAATTTTTCTAAGACGATATCTTAC